AATGATCGATCTATTTAAAGAGAAAGATTATGAAGAGATGAGTATTATATTGTTGCACTATGACAGAAGAAACAGACAAGTAAGAAGTTAAAGCATTAAATGAGCGTTATCTATCATAATGGATAAGATATTCAATACCTTATAATAAATAGGGTTGCAAATAGGATCCTTAGCAACAATATTTTCGAGACTATAGCGGTTTTGTTCATTTTTGAAGCAGACCCATAAAGACATAAGTTCTCGATGCACATATCAACTAGGATGTGTCTCAAGAATCTGTTGGAGTATTTTATCCATAGATTCTTTACTCAAACCATCCTTTATAAAAGTTATTTTATCTTCTTGGTTTTTGGACACAAATCCTACAGACGTACATCGTGTGTCACAGTTCCAACGAGCACATTTGTAGCAGCCGCCTATTCTTTTTGCCCTTTGTTTCTTGGCAAGAGTACTTCTACCCATACCTGTCATATATTAGTATGCGTTGGGAAATTCGCCAGATAGTCGAACTTTTGCTTCGATCAACCATCGTATATCATTTGGAATATTATGGAGCATTAGCACTCTCAGTCTTTCCACTCGAGATCGATAGATTTTTCTTATGATATTAAGTGGAAGTAATGAATAAAATTTACGAATATTTGAAAGTGCTAGATACATTTGTTATATCAGACCATTGTTGTAGATTGAAGGATCTACCGTGTCTGTTTATAGAACAATGGCGCGTATGAGATACGACTTCAAATGGTGTGTCAAAGAGCAATTTGCGTATGAGATAAGATTTTAGTCATAAATTTAATATTAAATAATGTGTGGCAGTATACGCAACTATAGTGCATTAATGGCAGCAGAAAGAAGATGTGAGATGTCGGCAACAATAATAACACCTGAATTATTGTGATGCTTATCAATTTATTTTTTATAGTGTCAGTTTGCATAATTGACGGTAAGAGATGGTTACTCCTGAGCGACGAATATGGGTTATGCTCATGATATAATCAACAAGAGCGCGATCAATTTAATTAGGTAGATCACTAGCACAGTAATTACGATTAGTTCTCCAGCATTTTCGACTTTAGACAAGTCAATATACTTGTCTATCGTTTTGGATTTGTCGCCGGAGTTCCTGAGAGTAATCGGGTAATGAATTGAGAAGTAGTTTCTCCCCAAGGCTAAGGCCATTAACAATAGTTAAGTGGAGTGCAGAGCTATATACTTTAGTTTTGACTCATATTTCGAGTTAGAAATCGTACTTTAGTTTAGCATTTCCGAGGACGGAAATATTTTTAAGGTGGGTAGATTGTAGCGCCCCGTTCGAATAGTATTTAATGGTATTTTATTTTAATATTTATATATACCTTGATTATGTGATTATATAATTTTATTATTATACAGATACTATAATTATATAGCTCGGTCAATTTTATTTTATCAATCGTCGTTTGAATTTTCGGTTTAATCGCGTAAGCCGAATTGTTGTTCGTTTGAATTCGTTTTTGAACCGTTGCGACCCG